GTTAGAGCCTCCTGTCACTCAGGACTGACCTATTAACCCTGCACTGGAAAGCCAGTTGCACTTGGAGCTTGAAAGCAAAAAGCGCAGAACTCAACTAAGGAACTCACCACGACCCCGGGAAGCAGGAGGAAAATGAACTCAAAGGGCTCACAGGGTGTCACACTTTCCTGTTTCGGAATGCCATCAGAGGTTCACTTTGGAGCCTGTTGCTGCCACCAAGTCTGTTAAAAAACAAAATTCAAGCAAGTAAATCAGTTTATGAAGTGCTTTATGAGATTATTATGAATTACGCAGCATTCCATCCGGCAAGCAGAGAGATGCTCTGAGGAGCAATACAAACGGAAGATGGGGCAAGGAGGTTGGTTATTAGCACAAGAAAACGGTGCTTCAGCCCAGGATAGCTTTTTGGGGAGAAGGGAAGAACAAGATTTTGATCATGCAGATGACCTCGCTAATGCTGATCTGGAAATTTCAGATTGAGTGTCAAAAGGTCACGTTCCTGGGATTGGTTGAGACTGTGAATCTTGTTTTGCTCTCCTTGGTGACAAATGACTCCAATTTGGGCTTTTTCTTAACAAAACAAAATACAACTAGATGCTGTTTCCAAGCTACAGAGCTGAAGCATAGGAGTATGAAAGGTGAAAGGAAAAGGATGCAAAATGGCACGCCATGCAAATCCAAAGCTTCTGGATAGAGAGTAGGTCATGGCAGGCCAATGCTCCTGCTGCAACTATAAAAACTAGATAAGGGGCGCCTGGGTGGCGCAGTCGGTTAAGCGGCCGACTTCAGCCAGGTCACGATCTCGCGGTCCGGGAGTTCGAGCCCCGCATCAGGCTCTGGGCGGATGGCTCAGAGCCTGGAGCCTGTTTCTGATTCTGTGTCTCCCTCTCTCTCTGCCCCTCCCCCGTTCATGCTCTGTCTCTCTCTGTCCCCCCCAAAAAATAAATAAACGTTAAAAAAAAAATTTAAAAACTAGATAAATGCTAAAAATCCATATTTTAAAAATCTTTGGAGAGCTGTAGAACAATAAGAATTGGATGAACTAAAATTTAAGTGCAAGAGGACCACCTAGTTGCAGTGATGATCTTCAGTTGTTTTCTTTCTTGGTGAGTCTGCTGAAGTGTCTTACAGGCTGAGTGAACAGAGACTTTATAATTCCTCAATCAAAAGTCTGGGACGGGGCGGGGAAGGGGGGGAGAGGCGCCTGGGTGGCTCAGTCAGTTAAGCGTCCCACTTCGGCTCAGGTCACGATCTCGCGGTCCGTGAGTTCAAGCCCCACATCGGGCTCTGTGCTGACAGCTCAGAGCCCGGAGCCTGCTTCAGATTCTGTGTCTCCCTCTCTCTCTGCCCCTCCCCTGCTCACATTCTGTGTCTGTCTCTCTGTCTCTCTCAAAAATGAATAAACATTTTAAAAATTTTAGAATAAGTTTATAAGCCCTACATACATTTAACATCCAACAAATATTTTTTGACCACCTACTATGGGCCGGGCACTTGTTCCAGTTGCAGGGAATACAGCAGTGGACAAAACGGACAAATGTGCTGCTTTCATAGAACTTATGTACTAGTGAAGCCTGGAGGGAGAGTATGTCAGGAAGATGGAGGGGTTAACTATGCAAAATGTTGCTTAGTCATCCAATAAGATGAGGACATAACAAAATTGACTATCAGCTTTGATAAGCTGCTCCCCTGATTTGGATATCGTCTGAATATGGATAGTGTTCATCTAGATCTCTTGTGAGCTCTCAGCCTCTAGGTATTTGCCAATTGAATTTACACAGATATCCATGTGTTCAAAACTGTATACTCCAACCACCTCGTCCTCCGGGGTTCCCCATCTCAGTGAATTGCATCACCATCCATCCATTTGCCCAAATCAGAAGCCTGGAGGTTCTCTTTAATTCTTTGTTCTCCTCTCTCCACTCCATTACACTTCCAGTTCATCATCAGTTCTACTAAATGTGTCTCAAATACAGGGAGGGCAAGAATGTGAGCTTTTTCTGCCCACCTGGTCCATGAAGACATTGCTTTTCCTCCCAGGGCTCCAGGTGGGGATGTCCCTCAGTTCAAGAAGGTGGTTTTCCAGGAATTTACTGATGGATCCTTCACTCAGCCCTTATACCGTGGAGAGCTGAATGAACACTTGGGACTCTTGGGGCCATATATAAGAGCAGAAGTTGAAGACAATATCATGGTGAGTTAAGGACAATGGAATTAAAAAAAATTAATCATATATATATATGTGTATATATATATATATATATACACACATTGTTTCTAATTATAAGAATAATGTATTCTTGGGGCGCCTGATTGAGCATCCCACTCTTGGTTTTGGCTCAGGTCATGATCTCACAGTTTTGTGAGTTTGAGCCCCACATTGGGCTCTGCACTGATAGCACAGAGACTGTTACGGATTCTCTCTCTCTCTCTCTCTCTCTCTCTCTCTCTCTGCCCCTCCCCCACTCGAACTGTCTGTGTCTCTCTCAAAATAAATAAATAAACTAAAAAAATTAAAAATTAAAAACTAATGTATTTTCGGCACCTGGGTGGCTCAGTCAGTTGAGCGGCCGACTTCAGCTCAGGTCATGATCTCATGGTTCATGAGTTTGAGCCCCACATCGGGCTTGCTGCTGACAGCACAGAGCCTGCTTCAGATCCTCTGTCACCCTCTCTGTCCCTCCCCTGCTCATGCTCTCTCTCAAAAATAAATAAAAAAATTTTTAAAAATAATGTATTCTCACTTTTGAAAAATTTCAAAGTATAGAAAATAAAGAAGTTGAAAAATAATCCCATAACTACCATTTTGGTGTATGTTATCTTTGTCTTATGTATCCTTCTCTTTATGGGTTCAGAATTATACAATGTATAATTCTACTTCTTTTGACTAAATATCATGTGGTAAGTATTTCTCATGTCATTAAAAAGACTCTCTAAATACTTTTGTTTAATGATGGCATAGTAGTCTATTATGTGAATGTATGGTTTACTTAGCCATATACTTTGAACCACCTTTTAAATAGTTTGATATTTTTTCAACAGTTCAGTAATGCTGTAATCACAACCGTTTACCAGGACAAAATTCTGGAAGAGCAATGTAGAGAAACATTCATTATCTGTTAATGTCCTTTGCCCATTTGACATTTTTTGGAGGGAGTGCTTTTCTTATCAATTTATATTACCATATATGTTATATATTTTTCCAAGTTTGTTGTCTTTTAATTTTGTATATAGTGGTTTTTTAAATAAAACAGGTTTGAATTTTTAGGCAGTAACCCATAAATCTTTCCTTTATGACACTTACATAGCTTTTATGTTTATAAAAATCCTTCCCTTGAGGTACCTGCATGGCTCAGTCGGTTGAGCGTCGGACTTTGGCTCAGGTCATGATCTCATGGTTCGTGGGTTCGAGCCCCACGTCAGGTTCTGTGCTGGCAGCCAGAGCCTGGAGCCTGCTTCCGATTCTGTGTCTCCCGCTCTCTCTGCCCCTCCCCCACTCACACTCTGTTTCTCTCTCTCTGTGTCTCTCTCTCCCCCCAAAAAACAAACATTAAAATAAATAAATAAAAATCCTTCCCTATGCAAAGATTGTTTTTCTTAAAATCACACTTTCTTCAACTTTATTTTACAGTTTAATTTCTTAACATTTAACCTTTTACTCCATCAGTAATTCCTGTAGACTAGAAGTTGTTTTGATGCATTGTGTGAGCCAAAAATTAAAGTAGTTTTATTCTTTTCCAAAAATAGTCATCCATTGGTCCAATTGAGTGTTTACATTAAGGATGTAGAAGGACCTAAGATTATGAGATTGCAAGTGAATTTTTTTTTCTGTCTTGATTCTGATTTTAGCTTCCATATGTCATATGAAGCATGTCTAACTTTTAAACAACTGAAGTCTTTTTTAAGGATCATATGCATTCACCCTAGAATTTGTCATAAGAACCATATGATTCAATTCCTGGGCTTATGGTCTCTTAAAACCCCTGGTGTGATATTTTCCCTTTCACTTCAGATTGCTTTTAAGTATTTAGGAATTTTCTCTTTTGCAACTTTCAATTCATGCTTTAAAGATTTTAGAATTCAAAACTTCCCCACTTTCCTCTATAGATCCTTCCTTTTGGGTTCTAATAACATCCATCCTCTGTACCACTTCCTTTGGGTATTAAAACTTGGGAAAACCCCAAAATAGGCATTACTATTAGGGACGTAAACCCTAAGCGAAGAACTTTATAAGATCCTAAAACATGACACTTGAATTCTTTTTTAAAATTTGTATTCACTTCTTTTCTCTGCAGGTAACTTTCAAAAACCAGGCTTCTCGTCCCTACTCCTTCTATTCTAGCCTGATTTCTTACGAGGAAGATCAGAGGCGAGGAGCAGAACCTAGAAAAAAGTTTGTCAACCCTAATGAAACCAGAGTTTACTTCTGGAAAGTACAACATCAGATGGCACCCACTGAAGATGAGTTTGACTGCAAGGCTTGGGCTTATTTTTCTGATGTTGATTTGGTAAGTAAGTGTGTACTGTGCCTGCTGCTTACTGGTTTAAAAGGAATGGGCTTTGTGTTATCTGCCAAGAATTTTGGTATTTACCCTAAGTTTAATGGAAAGCTTTAAATAGGGGAGGTGCCATCATATTTGTGTTTGAGAGGTATCACTCTGGGATCTACTAAGGAGGACTGATGTCTTCTCTCTCAGGAAAAAGACGTGCACTCGGGCTTGATTGGACCCCTTCTGATCTGCCGCAGTAACACACTGAGCCCCGCTCACGGGAGACAAGTGACAGTGCAGGAGTTTGCTCTGTTTTTCACCATTTTTGATGAGACTAAGAGCTGGTACTTCACAGAAAACATGGAAAGGAGCTGTAGAGCCCCCTGCAGTATCCAGAAGGAGGATCCCACTTTTAAAGAAAAGTACCGCTTCCACGGTAATGCATCCCACACCCAAATATTACTCCGTGTGAAAAGCACTACAACGGATGAGACGTGAGCCTGATGTTTCCACAGTATATGAATTGGGAGTGTATGTATGGGAGTGGAATCCTCACAGGAATCAATACTTTTTACTGGAGTAGAGGCAAAGAAACTTCTAGAATAGATCTTTTTAACTTACTTTAATGTTTATTTATTTTTGAGAAAGAGAGCATGAGCAGGGGAGGGGCAGAGAGAGAGGGAGACGCAGAATCCGAAACAGGCTCCAGGCTCCGAGCTGTCAGCACAGAGCCCGACGTGGAGCTCAAACCCACGAACCATGAGATCATGACCTGAGCCGAAGTCCGACGCTCAACTGAGCGAGCCACACAGGTGCCGCGAGAATAGGTTTTAACAGCCTTCTTCGTGTTCTCCTCCAGCAATCAACGGCTATGTGATGGACACACTACCCGGCTTGGTAGTGGCTCAGGATCAAAAGATCCGATGGTATCTGCTCAGCATGGGGAGCAATGAAAACATTCATTCTATTCATTTCAGTGGGCAGGTGTTCACTGTACGGAAAAAAGAGGAATATAAGATGGCAGTCTACAACCTGTATCCAGGTATGAGTTAGTTTGTGCTCTTTCTGACTACTGTACCTATTGTTCCACTCAAATGGTCCGGGCACTGGGAGAGCAATCCAAGGACAGAGCACACACACTCCCTGATCTCAGGTAACTTACTTCTTCAACTCACTTTACTCTATAGAGACATACTAAATAATTTAGCAAATGAGCATGATAATTTCAGATACAGATAATGTGCTCTAAAAGAAACAGAACAGAAAGCAGGAATAATTCATGTTGCAGCACTTTACTAGGAAAAGGAGACTATTTTCCCCATCTGAGATCCCACACGGCACTAGCAGTTATCCATAGAGTGATTTGTTTATGTATATAACCAGTATATCGATTAAGCAGTATTCATAATGTTGATCAGCTTTCATCATGGGAATGAACTTCCCCCGTTCTTGTGTAAAACTTCCAATAAGTTCAATGACTTTTCTGCTCACTGTTTTCTTTTTAATTTATTTTTGAGAGAAAGAGAGAGCGCAAGCAGAGGAAGGGCAGAGAGAGAGGGACAGAGAACCCCAAGCACAGAGCCCCATGTGGCGCTCGATCTCATGAACTGTGAGGTCATGACCTGAGCTGAAATCAAGAGTTGGACGCTTAACTGACTGAGCCACCCAGGCGCCTGTCTGCTCACTCTTGCATAATAAACATTCCTGCAGTCACTTTACATCACAAATACAGTTCAAGTACAAAGCAGCAGTGTCCACTCCGAGATACCTACATTGGGAAAGGGAGGCACAGTTGAGTCCTTTCTTCCTCTACCTTGTGTTTATTGTGTGTCCCCCTGCTCCCAACCCTGGCAGCTGCTTTCAACTCCAGCATGGAAAGGGTAAACTTACGGCACCCTTATCCTAGTTGGCACCTTAAAGGGCACCTTTATCCTAGTTGGCCGCTTGTGACTCATTCCTCAGCCCCTCAGCCTTCACCTCTAGCTTCTTGCTGCCAGGTTACTTTAGCCTCAAGGTGGCCCTAGTGGACCAGATCCACGAGGACCTTGCCCAGGCCTCCCTGTCCCAGGGAGCTCACATGTGCCCAATGGGAAATAAACCTTTGTCTCTGGAAAACCCTGGGAGTGCAGTGGCTTTCTCCTGTCTGCACCAGCAAAGGCTGCCACCACCCTGTCTCTCCTATTTCCCAGGGGTGGGGGCTGCCATGACTCAATCCCCGGTGCCTCCAAACTGTAGGGCTCACATAGCGAGCAATTTGGGTTTGAGGGTCCGAGGGTGATAGAACTGACTTAGGTAGATCTCCTTTGATATTCTGCATAAACCAATGCACCTGCCAGTCTTTTTTTTTTTTTTTAGCAAAAAGAAATCATTTTTGTTCCTTTTGTTTTTGATAAGGTGTTTTTGAGACAGTGGAAATGCTACCATCCAAAGTTGGAATTTGGCGGATAGAATGCCTAATTGGCGAACACCTGCAAGCTGGGATGAGCACTCTCTTTCTGGTATACAGCCCGAGTGAGTAGCGCTGTGCGCAGACGCCCCCTTCCTAGTCAGCCCGCTTCTCGTTTTTTTTTAGGGAGAAATAGAGCACACAAATGGGGGAGAGGGGGAGAGACAGAGACAGAGGCAGAGAGACAGAGAGAATCTCAGGTAGGCTCCACACTGAGTGTGGAGCCCAACGCAGGGGTCAGTGTCAAGACTCGGGGATCGTGACCTGAGCCAAAATCAGGAGTCAGAGTGTCAACCGGCTGAGCGTCGCCCCACCATCATTTGGTACAAATGATCAGAGTCCCCAGAGAAGGGCAGATATGGTTGAAGCTTCGAACATTTTGAACCCGAAGCTGTAAATATACAACAAACCAGTGCAAAAAAATATCTTCATTTTCGCAACTCAGTGAAGCTCCAAGAACAAATTGGGAAACTTAATTTTGGTTCAGTTATCAAAGATAACTTACAAATATCACCTGGAAGAGTTTGATATTTAACCCTAAGCAAGTAAGAGAGCCATTGCGTTCCTCAGCTGCAGGGCACGGATACTTGTGGCACCTAGCTATTGGAGTGAATTAAATGAGACAGAGAGTACAATAAACATTTAATATAGTTCTTGGCACATCGTGAACAGTAAAAATATGACCATTTGTTGGTGTTCTCCCGTTTTCATTGACTTGCATCTGTGAAGCTACATTTTCTGTATGTCTAGCTGTTGTGTTCCTCCACTTTGATTTCAGAGTGTCAGATTCCACTGGGAATGGCTTCTGGACGCATTAGAGATTTCCAGATCACAGCTTCAGGACAGTATGGTAAATACCATTTTTTGTCTACAAGAACTGCACTGATTAGATCTTTTTTACTTCTGTTAATTCTGCTCCATAAATGCCTCTCTTTCTTTTTTTTTAAGTGTGAACTCTATTTTATTTTTAAATGTTTATTTATTTTTGAAAGAGAGAGAGAGAAAGAGAGACAGTGTGCAAGAAGGGGAGGGGCAGAGAGAGAGGAAGACACAGAATTTGAAGCAGGCTCCAGGCTGTCAGCTGTCAGCACAGAGCCCAATGCGGGGTTCAAACTCACAAACTGTGAGATTATGACATGAGCTGAAGTTGGATGTGTAATGACTGCGCCACCCAAGTGTTCCTAAGAATTATTTTTCTATTTTTAAATGATTGGGAGAGAACAAAAGAAGACTGTAACATCACATATGAAAGTTATATGAAATTCAAATTTCGGTGTCTGTAAATAAAATCTTCTATGGGTACATACAGCCACACCCACTCACTTATAATTGTCTACAACAGCAGTTACATAGCTGAAACAGAGACCAGATGATCTGCAAAGCCTAAATTATTTACTATCTGGCCATTTACAGAAAAAAGTTTGTTAATCCCTGTTTTAGAGGGAGCAAAATGCCCTTTGAAAATGAAGCTTGAGAGTGATATACCAAAATAGTATTGTTTTTCTCTGCATAATTGTATTATTTTTCTCTGCATAAACGGATACTTTTTTCACTTTTATTTTTATTTATGTCTTATTTTTTTAATTTTTTAACATTTATTTATATTTGAGAGACAGAGAGACAGAGCTCCAGCAGGGGAGGGGCAGAGAGAGAGGGAGACACAGAATCCAAAGCAGTCTCCAGGCTCCAAGCTGTCAGCACAGAGCCCGATGTGGGGCTCGAACTCGCCAGTGGTGACATCATGACCTGAGCTGAAGTCGGACGGTTAACCGACTGAGCCCCCCAGGAGCCCCTGTGTCTTATTTTTATTTTTAATTTTCTAACTTTGCTACCAGGAACATACATTTTGTAATAAAGAAATAATGATATTATTCTATAGTACTGGTAACACATTCCAGTGTCAGCTAATTAGAGGTACTAATAAACAAAATTATTAAGTTTAGAAAATAAAATCCTACTATGTTTTATGCCTTTATCTTCTCCACAGCTAGGTGTACCCTTTCTCAAGAGAGAAAGTTTATTTCCTAAGTGTCTAGGACCAACCCAGCTGAATCTAATCTCTCTCCCCTTTCTTGGGCAAAGGACAGTGGGCCCCAAAGCTGGCCAGACTTCACTATTCTGGATCAATCAATGCCTGGAGCACCAAGGACCCCATTTCCTGGATCAAGGTTAGAAAGTACCTTGTGTTCAATCATGTCGTGTGTTCTCTTGCAACCTCAAAACGTTACACATCTGCTTTAAGCCATAGTCATTGTCCTCAAACTCCAAGTAACAGACCAGGAAAGAACACAGTGGCTTAGGATTTGTACAAAGACAATGAGGAATAATGATTTGGGAATGGAATTGAGTATGCTGATATGTTAGTCCAATATGGGAAACAAACGGAACCGGTGACTGAAACAGCGTCTTTAGGGTCATTCAGTTTCTTTTCAAATGACAAAGTCTTTCAGATCTGCTCACTCCCCATTTCCTCTAGAGCCACACTGCCCAGTAGAAACACACTTCGAACCACAAATGCAACCATGGGTGTCAGTCAACATTTCCCAGTAGCCACATTTAAAAAGAAACATCTGAAATTCATTTTTTTTTTATTTTTTTTTTCAACGTTTTTATTTATTTTTGGGACAGAGAGAGACAGAGCATGAACAGGGGAGGGGCAGAGAGAGAGGGAGACACAGAATCGGAAACAGGCTCCAGGCTCTGAGCCATCAGCCCAGAGCCCGACGCGGGGCTCGAACTCCCGGACCGCGAGATCGTGACCTGGCTGAAGTCGGACGCTTAACCGACTGCGCCACCCAGGCGCCCCTGAAATTCATTTTAATGATATATGTGATCCAACATAGCTAAAAATGCTACCAAATGAGCATGTACTAAGTCGGGACTGTGACCCTTCAAGGGCACACATATAGGAACTCATGCCAACTCCGCCCTCTGCCTAACCACAAGCGTAGCTTCCTTCTAGAGCCCACCCAGGGAAAGGGAGAAAACGTGACTGCTTCCAGCTTTGTTTTCAACCCTCTAACGCGCCTCCATGTCCGGAACTTACAGCCCGAAGCGGGGAATGCACACACGCCCCGCCACCTTGTCTCCCCACACCGGGTCCTCGTGCTGCTGACTTCTGAGCTGACCAACGCCATTACCTATACATTTCCCTCCTTTGCTGCAAGACAGCATCTGCTCCTGTTTTCTTGAGATTAAAATACTAAATAGGGATTGGGGAGAGATAAAGTGGTACACCAGTGAGACCTGGAAAGAGCACATCTCTCAATGTCACAGTGGCTCATTGGTCGTCAGCACGGCCAGTTGTGGCTCAGCCTGAACTGGCGCTCACTGATTCCTAAGTATGTCTGTTTCTTTGTGAGGCGGCCAAACCACATGTTTTCACCCTGTATTTCCGCGGTTATCACTTTCAACCCGACATGTATCCCTGGGTAGTGGATACCATCATCCATTTGGGTGCCCTGCATGTGGTGTTCCATTGACTTATCTATTTATTGGAACAGCATTCTCATTTCCATTTGGGGAATTCTATCTCCCTAACTGCACATGACCTCCCAGGACTAGTAACTGGAGTGCCTTTTCTGTGCCCAGCCAAGAACTTGAGTAATACACAGCATTACGTTTCCACTTAGATTTGGCCAATTGTTACAGCTTGCCAAGCTTCTGTCTCCCAAAGACTGTCTTAGTCTTTCCAGTTTCACATAATTTACTGACTTGATCAATACGCTTTTTTATGCTTTAGCAAATTCATGATCAAAATATTGATATACACAGGGCTTCCTTACTGGGTGCTTTAAACAAATCAAGCTAGTAAATCCCTACCACACCTGTCATTATCATTGTCATTTCAGCTAAGAAAGCTCAGACAAAGTTAAATAACTTGCCCAGTCACAGCCAGTAAGTGGTTGAGCCAAAATTCAAACCCTGATAGTTGGGCTCCAGAGGCCTAATTTGTAATCATTATACTATACTGTTTCTAGAATGCTCCCTTCAGGTTGATAAGCATCTGTTAACTGCCATGGTTTGCTTATGGTAATTGAACCACAAATCTTCACTTAATTGTATTACCATCCAATCTGTATTAAATCACCTCATCCTGAAGGTTTTGTTTTTTGTTTTGTTTTGTTTTGTTTTTGCCATCATATTCTACTGAAGCCCAGATACACATTTTCATGATCTGGTGACTTTATGCAATAAATATCCAAGGGAAATAAAAAGTTATGTTCACTTACGAAAGAAAGAAAGAAAGAAAGAAAGAAAGAAAGAAAGAAAGAAAGAAAAAGAAATGGTTCTAGGGAGCCAGGCTGGCAGTCAGAGATGTCTAGCTGCCATGTTTGTATTTGTGCACCCGGTGACTCATTACTGCTTTGCTTACTCCCTCATACAGAGGTGTGTCCTGTTGTCACACTCAAATACATGGCTGGATACATAGGTGAAGATGTTGACTCTGTAAATGCCAAGTCGCTCTGAGATTCCAATTATAATAGAGAAGAAGCACAAGAAAGTGAAGTAGATGAGACTGGCGGTTTGCCAAGAATTCATCAGTTGCAGAACGCAGGTGGAAAGGGTGGCTGGCAAGGCTTTCTTACAACTGCTAGAAAGTGCAATAGTCAGTGGTCCAAAAGAGACCTCGCATACACAACATAGAAAACAGTACAACTCAATTCAACAAAAGTCACGAGTTTTGCCCCTCATACTTACAGTTGTTTATGCCCCGACACAAAGAGTAAAACTAAAGTGTCTTCAATTGAAAGTATCTTCTAATCAGGGCGCAGATAGTGCTATAGCTTCTGAAGACTGTGCCACTCTCTGTCCTGCAGCCCTCCTTCTTCTTCTCCTGTACTTACTGCTACGTGATGCTGTAAACAAAAACATCTATATAACATGTAGTCTGTTTCTCTAACTCAAATGTAAGTTACATCAGGGCAGGGCTTTTGTTTTCTTGTTCCCTGCTCAATTCCAGTACCTAGAACAGTGCTTAGCACATAACAAGTGCTAAAAACATCTTCTTTGAATGAATGGATGGATAGATGGATGGCACTTACTGAAGGAGACAGTTAGTTATGAAGCTCAAGTGTCATTACAGTCCAATCTGAGTGTGCCAGGCATCTGTGAGAAGTTAAGTTGGACTTGCTTATCAGGGCGCTGATGCCACAATTCCTTCTAATGCTTGCATAGCCTGTGCTCTCTTCTTTAAGATCCAGCCATTCCTATGTAAGAAACAAAACAGACGAACATAGGGGAAGGGAAGCAAAATGAAGATAAAAACAGAGAGGGAGACAAACCAGAAGAGACTCTTAAATACAGAGAACAAACTGAGGGCTGCTGGAGGAGTTGTGGGTAGGGGGATGGACTAAATGGGAGGTGGGTACTAAGGAGGGCACTTGTTGGGATGATCACTGGGTGTCATATGTAAGGGATGAGTCACTAAATTCAGTCCTGAAACCAATACTACACGATATATTAACTGCCTCAGATTTAAATAAAATTTCAAAATATATATAAAAAAATAATAAACATTATCATTCAAACATCTACTCACTTCAAACAAATTTCTTTAAAAACAAACAAACAAAAAGAACCAATTATTCCTTACCACTCTGCCATTATTCACTCATTCATTCCAAAACATTTCCTGTGCATCAGTATTATACCAGATGCCAGGTTAGGTCTACAGCTAGAGAGAACATAAAAGCTACCATTTAGGGGTGCCTGGGTGGCTCAGTCGGTGAAGCTTCCATTTATTTACTTACTTACTTACTTACTTACTTATTTATTTATTTATTTATTTATTTATTTATTTATTTATTTTCAGAGAGAGACAAAGAGAGCACCAGCCAGGAAGGGGCAGAGAGAGAGAGAGGGAGAGAGAAAACCCCCAACAGACTCTGCACTGTCAGCGTGGAGCCTGACATGGGTCTCAAACTCATGAAGTGCAAGATCATGACCTGAGCCAAAACCAAGAGTTGGTCACTCAAACGACTGAGGCACCCTGGTGTCCCCCTGCCCCAATTCTTCTTTTTTTGTAATGTTTATTTATTTTTAAGAGACAGAGCATGAGCAGGTGGAGGGGCAGAGAGAGAGGGTACAAAGGATCTGAAGCGGAATCTGCACCAACAGCAGTGAGCCTGATGTGGGGCTCAAACTCACAAACCGTGAGATCATGACCTGAGCCGAAGTCAGACGCTCACCTGACTAAGCCACCCAGGTGCCCCTGAGCTTCTGATTGTTGATTTCAGCTCAGGTCCTGATCTCATAGTTCATGGGATCAAGCCCCAGGTCTGTCAGCATGGAGCCTGCTTAGGATTCTCTCTCCCTCTCCCTCTCTCTCTGCCACACCCCACCCTCAAAATAAATAAATAAAAACATAAAAATAAAATAAAAGCTACCATTTATTAAGTGTTTAGTATGTGCCAGGCACTGAACTCAGCACATCACATGTATTAACCCCTTAATCCTCTGGTAAACCTCTGCGATAAACACCATTATTATTTCTACTCTACATATAAAGAAATTGAGACACACAGAGGTTAGGTGACTCAAACAGGTTCACTGCCTTAAGGATCACAGTCTAACAATGAAGGAATATAAGCAAAGAAAGCTTTATAATATAATGCAATAATATGCTCTCATGAAGTTTTATACACAAAGTGAAACAGAAGTATAGAGAAAGGAGCACTAAATATATCTGGGCAAGTCAGGGAAGGCTAACCAGGAGAAATCGTTTCTGAAGTAACACTTGAAGGAGAGACAGCGGTCTATCACTGATAGTGATGTTGGGATGGAGACTGGTCTGGGGAGAGGGGAGGAAATCGGCTTTGCTGAGGCTGACGCTGAGGCTGAGGCAAAGCACTAGGTTATGTGTGTCCCTAAGTGCAGCACACGGGATGCGGGTACAGGAAGTAAGGCCCATTGATTTGGAAGCGGTCTGGTGTGTCAGGAAGTAGGCTGAGAACCCAATAAGCCCTTTCCTTCTTGTTCCCATCATTTATCTCCCCGCTCCACACACATCCACATTCCAACGTTGCCGTCTATTTCACTGCACGTCCAAGGTGATATTGAGCATATCTGTATTGATGTAGATTCTTCTTAAGCCAATAATGAATTTCAGAAGGTGCTACATACATTTAAGATAAAGTGTTGTTTTAATTGGCAGGTGGATCTGTTGGCACCAATGATCATTCACAGCATCATGACCCAGGGCGCCCGTCAGAAGTTGTCCAGCCTGTACATCTCTCAGTTTATCATCATGTATAGTCTTGATGGAAAGAAGTGGCAGAGTTATCGAGGGAATTCCACTGGGACCTTAATGGTATGTCATGAGTTCTTTTAAGAGAATGCATGAGTGTTTTAAAGAGCTTCTGACAGATTTCAGATATGGGACAAACACTCCTACCTTCTACAAACTTAACTCCAAAAAAGATTTTTCCACTTTGGGGCAATAGGAGTGATTATGGATGTCTGGATAAAAACATAGTAGCATCAAAGATCTCCTAGATAATACAAATGAAGAGGTATGCTCTGTTGACAGAAATCTGTGACTCGGGACTGAGTGGATCGATAACATTATGAGTTTGCTTATGGATATTCTAAGTGTGAGATGACAATAGGGCCGTCAGGTGGAATATCCAGCAGGCGGTAGCTTGAAGACTTGAGTTCATGGGGGCAACACCCTAATGGAGGTAAAGATCTGTGTCTTCCACATAAAGGGCCAGGGGAAACCTTGGGAAGTGATCACAAGACCCTTCATTCAACAGGTTCTTGATATTGGGGTTGTGAGTTTGAGCCCCATGTTGGGTGCACAGTTTTCTTTATATATATATATATATATATATATATATATATATATATATATATATATACATATATACATATACATACATATACACACACACACACATACATATATGATATTTATTCTCCTCGTGCCCTCCTTTTAGAGGATTTGGCTTTATTTATTTTTTTTTTTTTTAATATTTTTTTTCAACGTTTATTTATTTTTGGGACAGAGAGAGACAGAGCATGAACGGGGGAGGGGCAGAGAGAGAGGGAGACACAGAATCGGAAACAGGCTCCAGGCTCTGAGCCATCAGCCCAGAGCCCAACGCGGGGCTCGAACTCACGGACCGCGAGATCGTGACCTGGCTGAAGTCGGACGCTTAACCGACTGCGCCACCCAGGCGCCCCAGAGGATTTGGCTTTATCTCTCCACTGAAGGTCACTGCTCCCTTCACAGTGGCTTTCTTCTCTCCCTGGTGTGGTTACTATCACTGACTAGCAAACCACCCCAAAACTTAATGCCAAACCATTTTGTTCACAGATTCTATGGGTCAGGACTTTTAGCAGGGTACAATAGGGGTGGCTGTCCGGGCTCCACAATATCTGGGGCCTCAGCTGGGAAGATTTGACAGCTGGGAGCTTGAAGTATCTGAAGCATCTTCACTTGCATGTGTGATAATTGGTGTTGACTGACCTAGCTAGGGCTGCAGCTGCGGCTGCTGAGGGAAGTAACTCGGTATGGCCTTCCCATGAGGCCTGGGATTCTCACAGCATGATGGTCACACATCTATCCAGATTCAAGAGGAAGAGACAGATGCCACTTCTCAGTGGGAGGAATGTAAGGAACTTGTGGTCTTTTCTGTAAACCACTGTCATCCAAGTATCACCAGTGATGCTATGGGATGAGATACAGATGGTGACAAAAACCCTGGGAGATTAAATTGACAGGGGCATTTAGTCAGTATGGTGATAACTATAGCATCGCCTGGTTGTAGAATGACCTGTCTACCTTTCATAGCCCTTATTTTTACGGCATACGTAGAGGAAATAAATTAAATGTTAAACATTATGAATATACACAAAGAAGAACACCCGTGGATGTACATATAGAATTGGGCCACATCCATGGAGCTCTGGAGGACACTGCCACATCCTGTGGTTGTAGACAGATACGCGGACTTAAGACTAAGTCTAAGAGCTGAGCATATGAATTACAGACTTGCCATGGAATGGTCAACCCCACCGGGTCTCTTATGCTAAGTGGAAAGAAGGGGAGCTCTGAGACCTGGGTGGGCAGATTTACACACACATGGGTAAGGCTGAGAACCGCCAGCCTCCAAATGCCCCTGAATCTCCTTGCCTGGGGAGCGACCTTTCCACAACCTCCAAGGCAGTTTTCTTTTCTCTGCATAAAAGTCTTCTGGTGACTACACCTGCAACTGTTGCCTCACAAGCCAGTGTCTCGTGTCCTTAGGGCCCCTGTTTGGCCACTACAAAAGTCAGATGAGTCATGAGGAAATGACACATCATCACAAATTTAGTCAGGTGGTGATGACAAAAAGTTTGCAATCCCAGATGTGGCATCTTCTCCAGAGCAAATTAACACAGCTCCAGGCACCTGACACTGACCTGGAGCATACTTTTTCCTTCATTCCCATTGATAAGCAAAAACAGGATAGATTTGCACTTACAACGTAGGATCGGGAGTATTAACTTTACTGTTTATGTCTCAGGACAATGCCGGCTCCTGTTCTTTGTTATAATATACACCCAAGGGACTCCAAACGTGTTGACACCCCACAGAACACCACACTGGCCCATTACATTGATGACGTTATGCTGGCAGGACCTGGTAAACAGAAGTAGCAATTACCCTAAATGCTTTTGTGATTAATATACATAAACACACACAGAGAGACACATATATAGACATATATGTAAAACAAATAAGCCCATCTTTTCTTGACTTTACTGTGAATAGATCCCATATTTCACTCTTTAACATAATGTTCACTGTTTCAAACAAATACTTTTTTTAATGTTTATTTATTTATTTATTTTGAGAGAGAGAGGAGCGCACAAGCAGAGTAGGGGCAGAGAGAGAGGGAGAGAGAGGACCCCAAGCAGGCTCCACGCTCTGCAAGATCACAACCAGAGCCAATATCAAGAGACAGTCACTTTAACCGACTGAGCAACCCAGCCACCCCTCAAACAAATACTTTCTACCACATTTAAAAATTTCCTTCCACTCCTTTTTATTTGCAATGGCTGCACAATTTCATCAAATGCTTTTTCAGCATCTTTGGTATGATCACATTTCTTCTCTTTCCTATTGTCAAAATACAGTTAACATCCAGTGGTGTGCTGGCAAATGTTTATCACTTGGCTCAGAAGCAAAATGGGGAACAGTTAGGGGGGAAAGGTGTTGATTTGTAGCGTTTGCTCATTTCCATGCTATAAATACTCATTATCATACCTGATTTGTAACAGTCCAATCAGACCTGATTTCAAGCCGATGATTTAATGGCATTGAATGCAGAGTTGGGAACAGACGTGCACAAGTGGCTCTCACAATCCAGGACTAGACAGCTCCAGCACAGCACTGTGAAATCCCTGGGAAAACCACTCTCATTCATAGTGTAATAATCGTTTAAAACTTAGCTGGATGCAATTTGATTACACTTCATTTAGAATTTTTCTATCTGTACTAATCAATAAAACTGGTTTACCTTTCTCAAGGGCTCTGTTTATCAGGTTTTGGCATGAGAGTTATATGGAACTTGAAAATAAAGTAGAATGGTTTAATTAATATAGTAATCATGTATTTAATGAAAGTTAGGTGGAAATGCCACTAGAGCTTTGTGCCTTATTTAGTGGCCTGGCTATCTTTTCCAATCCTCATCTGAATATTGATATTCTCATTTTCTATTCCCTGTAGTTCATTGCTGTGACTGTATACATCAGACTTCTGTCTCCCTGCCTATGTCATAGAGCCATATCTACATGCACACATCTCTCTCTTTTTCCCCTTTATCTGAGTGGGCAAATGTTTGTCTATTCTATTTGATTTTCAGAGAATCAACTCTTGGTCTTAAAATCAAACATAGACTTTGGGCACCTGGGTGGCTCAGTCGCTTAAGCATCCAAACTCTTGGTTTCCGCTCAGGTCATGGTCTCATGGTTCAGGGGATTGAGCCCCGCGTTGGGCTCCGTGCTGTCAGCATAGAGCCTGCTTTGGATTCTCTCTCCTCTCTCTACCCCTCCCAAGCTTATGCTGTCAATAAATAAATAAAAATTAAAAAAGTAAAACATAGGGGCGCCTGGGTGGCTCAGTCGGTTGAGCAGCCGACTTTGGCTCAGGTCATGATCTCGCGGTCTGTGAGTTCGAGCCCCGCGTCGGGCTCTGTGCTGACGGCTCAGAGCCTGGAGCCTGTTTCAGATTCTGTGTCTCCCTCTCTCTCTGACCCTCCCCCGTTCATGCTGTCTCTCTCTGTCTCAAAAATAAATGTTAAAAAAAATTTAAAAAAAATTTTTTTAAAAAAGTAAAACATAGACTTGAAGTTTGTTTTCCAATTAATTTCTGCTCAAAACTTTTAAAATTCTCTTTAATTCTCTTTTGGTTTATTTTTTGTTTCCTAGAATCTCGAGTTAAATGACTAGTTCTTTTGTTTTTAGTCTTTCTCATTCAGTGATAATGATACAATATTAACTACTCTCATGAAGGTCATTCATTTAACAGTTACTCAGGAACTACTGTTCTAGGTTCTAGTAAAGGGATGGGTAAGCTGGAGCCCATCCATGGATTTGGACTACCACCTGCTTTTGTATGGACTGTGAGTTAAGAATGGTTTTTACATGTTTAAAGTCGCAAACACAAAGGTTATGGGACAGAGACCATTTGGGGCCTGAAAAGACTAAAATGTTTCCATCTGCTCCTTTACAGAAAGAGTTTGCAGAATGAGGAACTACTCTAATGGCAGCAGAGATGCCTAGAGTGTTAACATGAACCAGAACCCTTCCATCCCAGACCTTCTCTAATCAACAGATTGCAGTCTTAGTCATTGACCTTCAGTGTAGAGGTCCTCAAAGGTTTTTACATCTTCGTATCATCCACATACTAAATATTGTTGCAGCAGCGATATTCTCATCATAGAAGTCCCACATAAATGGGGCAAAGGGAATTGCAATGCCCTTTAAGGATCGCTGCTTCACTGCCACTATTTTCAGTAGTTTTATTACATTTTTTAATGTTTATTTATTTTTGCAAGAGAGGGGTGGGGGAGGAGCAGAGAGACAAGGATCCAAAGTGGTCTCTGTGCTTACAGCAGAACTCGAACTCACAAACCATGAGATCATGACCTGAGCCAAAGTTAACACTAAACAAACCGAGCCACCTAGGCACCTATATTGTCAATAGTTTATAATAATTTAAATGTTAATTTTGAATTATCAATGAGCATTTCACTGATGTGGCTCTTTCCCTTTGCTTTTCAAGTTACAAAGAAGACTACTCATGTCTTTTAAAAATATTTATTTTTGGTCATGTTATAAAACAGCGTTAATTTTATTTATAATTACCAAGTGATTTGTCAAAGTCTGTCAAAATTGCTGAAATCTGGCTTTGGCCCAAATATCTGTGCTATGAAGTTTCTGAGGGAGATATATAAATGAGCCAATGGCAAATAAAAACAACCTTCAAGTTTCCTAAAATTATACTCATATACCCAACACAGGCTCTCTGGTAATCCCTTCCCACCACTTCCTCAAGGCAAGGAGTTAGACCAGAGGCCTAAGGAGGCTTT